ACTCAGGCGCTGGAGATCAAACCTTTTGCCTAACCCTGCGGGGACGCCGGGGCAGAAGGTCTTGTGCAGGTGCTACAGAAGCCAGGACAGAAAGCAGCCAGGGTGACCCCCGCCCCAGTCCAAAACCAGAGCGGGGCTGGGACAGTTTCCCACGTGGCAGCTGGGAGAGTCTTCCATCGGGTCGCTGGCCACCAGGAGCTGTGACCAGCCACAGGGGACCCAGCCGGCACCTGCCCAGCCTGCCCTTCCCAGTCACCCGCTGGGGGACGCAGGGTCCCTGACCAGCCCAAACGGCAGCTTTGGAGCAGGAAGGGCTCCCAGCCCCAGGACGCCATCCCCTTGGCACTGGTGTCATCTCTGGGGTTTCTATGGGGGTGGCTGGGCTGGGCTCCCCCTGCCGGGCAAGGGTCCATTTGCGCCTGGAGCAGGGGTCGGATACTGGGGCACAGCTGGGGCAGCAACGGCAGAAAGAGTCACCTGAGAGTCTCAAAACCCAAGGCTTCTCTGGAGGCAGCCAGGAGGCCTGGGGAAGCCTGGGGTTGCCATGGAGACGGGGCTGTGCCCCGCAGCGCCAGCGGGAGGGAGGAAGGGAGGGCAGGGGTGCCGGTGGCCCCCCTAGAGTAGGGAACTCACGAGCGCTCTCTCCCCTGCAGTCCAGCAGAACATGACAGCCACCCCGCCAGCAGAGTCGGTGCCCAGGATGGGGTTGGGGAGCCTCGGGAGGTGGCCGGACAGTTTGCCCAAAGCCGAGTCTCCCCGGGTCAAGGAAGATGCCACGGCCAGCTCCGCATGCTGGGCCCACCCTGGCCTGTGAGGCCCCGCACCCTGCACCTCCCTGTCCACAGGCCTAGGACCCGGGGTGCGCGAAGTTCATAGGCTCCTGTCTCCCCCGGGCCTGCTCAGGAGCTGCAGGGTCACCTCTCTAAGGGTGCCTCCCTAAATAGCAGCCTGCCCTTCGCCCCCAGGGTCACTGCAGTGAGGCTGTGGAGGGACCTCCCGGGCCTTCTGGACACCTGCAGCTTCCTGGAGCAGGTGGGCCGATCACCCTCCTCCTGGAGCCAGAAGCCGGTGAGCGCCAACGCCAGCTGGTCTCAAGCAGCCCTGCCCAGGGGCTTGGCTGGGGCTCAGCTATGGGTGCGTGTAGGAACGACAGTCCCTCAAAGTGCCAAGGTTGAGGGGGCTGGGCTCCCTCGCAAGCCTTGCTGTCTAGCTGAGGTCCTGCCGCTTGCCCAAGGCCAGGGCCTGGCTGCCTCTTTCATTCCTCATCTGTAAAATGGGCCTGCAAGCCGGGCGTGGTGGCACATACCTGTGACCCCAGCACTCGGGAGGCTGAGGCAGGAGGATCACCGTGAGTTCAAGGCCAGCCTGGGCTACATAGTGGGTTCAAGGCCAGCCTACACTACATAGGGAGGCCCTGTCTCAAAGGACAAAACCAAAACAAAATGGGGGGAAAAAAACACAAAATGGGCCCACAGTAGCACCCACCCACTAGATTTTAGTGCAGAAGCCATGGGCCCGGACAGCCCCTGCCTCTTCCAAGGTCCCTGGCAGTGACAAGCCGCCCCCTCCTCCTCTCCTCCTCTCCTCAGGAACCCTTTCTGCCCGACCTGGTGCTGCAGTCAGTCTTGAAGCATGGCTACCCTAAGGGCTACTAGCTTCTGTCTTCCACAACTCTGACTGCTCATGGGTGCCCCAGCTGAGGGCTGCATGCCGGCCAGGCAGTGAGGGTGTCCTGCCTCAGCCTACTAATAAACACATATCCCAGGTGGCTGGGATCTGCTGTTAGGTCTCACATACAGTGCAAGCCTGCCTTGGGGGGTCTCCGGGGATTCCTGGGGTGGAGGAGGAACAGCTGGGCCTGCCTAGGGCCTATGCCAGGTCCTCCCTTCTGATATGATACCCTGCACAACCTCCGACCTGGCACTGTGCATCTGTCCGCTCAGATCAGCCCATACCTGAAGGAGGTGCCTGCCGTGCGGGGGGCCCGGGAATGGTGAACTGTGCCCCCACCCCTGCCACACCTGTGCTGTGATCCCTGGACAAAGTGGGCCCCCTCCTCACTGTCACTGGCGCCCATCCCGGGCCGCTGGTCCAGCTCTTTATCGCCACCCCCTGGCCAGGGAGGACACAGCCAGGGAATCACGCAGGCACCTGGCTGGGCAGAAGCCTGGGTCACTCCAGGTGGCCGGGGCTGGACAGCGATTGGTGGTGACCTTGGGCTGTGGATGACCGAGGCTTTTTTGGAGTGGCGCCCTGGCTCCAGAAGAAAGGCGGTTGGTAGGCCGAGAAACGGTTTGGACAAAGCCAGCTTGGGGAGGGCTGGGAGCAGCGCCACGACCGCCCCCGCAGGCACACATGGGGGCTGGAGCGGGAATCGACTCCCCCTTCCCCCGACCCTTTGGCATCTCCCTCATCTCCGTCTCCGGAGTTTCACGCCCCGCGCCCCCCAGCCCAGGCTATTTCTGGGGGTCCCCGAGGAGACTGGATTGTTCCACACCAACTCCTGGGGCCTTCGCCCCCCGCGTGCCTCAGTTTCCCCCGCCCGCTCGCCCACCGGCTGCAGCGCCGCACCGCGCCCACGCGGGGGCAGTGTTGGCCTGGCTTTGGCGTCGCCGAAACTTCTCTGCTTCCCGCTCCAGGTCAGAAACTTTTCCCTTCCCGCCCCCGCATCCCCTCCGCCGCGGGCTCCTGCACCTGCGCTGGCCGCGGCTGCACCTAGGAGATCTGGGCGAACTTATTGGTCGCTATGCAACCCCCCAAGTGCACAGCCTTCGGGGCCCCACGCGCCCCGAGCCCGCAGGTCCCCCGCTCGCCGCGGAGGCTGTGACCAAAGGACGCCGAGCGCAGGATCTACGCGCGGATACCGCGCGCCACACCCGCCACACGGAGAGACACACACGACGACGCACACACAGACACCCCCAGACCCCTTCACAGACACCACGGCTCGGAACACATCGCACCCCCAGTCCTGCCCTGTACCACTCACAGTCGGGGACCCCAGCCCCACGTTGGGGATCCCTGCTTGCCTGGAAGACGCAAGCGCGTCCTTCATGGCCCTCCGTAGTGCCTGTCCATCACCAAGGTGACGCCCGCTGCGAGCAGAGCTGCATCTGCCTGCGGAAGGGGGTGCGGAGGGAGCGAGCGCGCCAAGAGGCGGCCCCTCCTTGCCACCCAGCCCCGGGCCGCTCCAGGGCGTGAACAAGGCCCAGGGAGGCCCGGCTCTTTCTGAAGGTCACAGGCACGGAGTGTTGGAATCGGCCTCCAGCTCTGCACTTCTGCCCCGGAGGCAGTGCCGTGGAGCTCCCTCCCGCAAGGTGACCTGCGGGGCAGGCTCTGGGGGACCCCCCTGCACACGTGAGCGCAGGGCAGAGAGAATGCGGGGAGGTCAGCGGGAAAGGAGGACTTATTTGGAGCACGTGGAATTTGGGGAGACTGCGGCAGGCGGGCGGGGCAGCAGGAGAAAGGGCAGGGGGCAGAAGCCTGCAGGTGTCCCAGGAGGGCAGGCGGCCCTGGCCGGAAGTGCGCCGGGCACGCGGAGCGCCCCTCACCGGAAGTGAGGGAGGCCTGCTGCTCGGCCTGCAGGGGGCGCCCTGGTGGGAGAGGGGGGACACAGGCAAGGGGAGCCCCTGAAGATGTGGAACTCCATGGAAGCCAGCCCACGCGGGAGAGCCACCCCAACACGCTGATTGTTCCGTGCAGTTCCTAGGGGACTGTCCGGGTCGCCTCCCCCATTGTACGCTGGGCCCTGACCCCGGTGACAGCGGCGGGTGGGGTCTGCAGGAGCCGATTGGGTCAGGAGGGTGGGGCCCTCCCGAGTGGCATTAGCGGCGTCTTAGCAGAGACCAGAGAGGGAGCAAGATCTTTCTGCCGAATGAGGACACAGCAGATGGGAAGGGAAGGGAAGGGAGCTGACCACGGTTATTCGTGCAGCCAACCTGGCGTTGCAGTCTCTCCGAGGACCACGCGGCGCTGAGGCGCGGGGCACGGGGGAGGCTGCATCCCCACCCTGGACAGATGGGCACGCCTGTCCCCTTTCCTTCGTTTCTGCCTCTCTGTCCTTCTGTCGCTGCCCCCGGGGATGCCTAAGTGACAGGAGGTTGGCACTTTCCATGGTGTGAGAGACACGTGCGTCGCCTCCCCCCAGCAACCCCACGAGCCTCCTGGTCCCCTAGTAGAAGCAGCTCCAGGGATGGGGGAGACGGTTCAAGTCCACTGTAGCACGTGAGACACCCGGCACAGTGGGCTGGGGCTTCTACCACCACCCACGCTGTCCCCACCGTGGGAACCAGTGAGGGCAGGAGGGACCTGGGACCTGCCCTCCTGAGCTCAGGGTCCAGAGGGAAGGCACTGAGGAGCCAGGACAGATGCCACCGGGCAAGCAGCGTGTGCCCGTGCTGGAGGACAGACGCTGCCCCTGCAGACGAAGCAATCCGGGCGCAGAGAGGTGAAGTAACCTGGCCAGGGTTGCACAGTGAGCACCAGTTGGGAAGCCGAGGCAGGCGCTATGATGGGGACACAGGCGGACTCCAGGAAGGCGATCGTGATGTCTTTGGGCTCAGAGGGCTGGGCTCTCGGGCAAGCGCCATCCACGCCTCCCTTTCTTCATTCTGCATTCCTACCCCAACAGGTTTGGTGGTTTTCTTTGTTTGTTTGTTTGTTTGTTTGTTTTTGGTACCGGGAATCGAACTCCGGACCTCGCGCTTGCCAGGCAAGCGCTCGTGCTGCTGAGCTATCTCCGCCCCCACCCCCCACCCCCGCTCCCGGTTTGGTTTTGTGCTCCTAGGGATTGAACCCAAGACCTGTACAGTGAGCTATATCTCCAGCCCCCCGCCCCCCGCCCCCTTTTATTTTGAGATAAAGTCTTGCTAAGTGCCCAGATTGGGCTGGAATTTGCCACCCTCCTGCCTCAGCCTCCCAGAGTCCTGGGGTCACAGGCGTGCACCACCACGCCCGGTTTCAGAACACTTTTGGTGAGGGCCAGCGGTCTTGTCTGACTCTGCTGGACCCCACCTGTGATCAAGGCAGCCAGCTTCCCATCTTCCCCCTCCCCCACCACCACGTCGGAGGTAGAGATGGGGCCAGCTGCACAGGCTGTGACCCCTGCAGACCCCCAGGGCCCTGTGCTGGCTCCTGCTCCGCTGTCTGATTTGCAGCAGGTCCTGAACCAGCGGCCTGCGCTTCCATTTTGCCCTGAGCCTGGCACCGTGCAGCTGGATTCAACCGTGGCCGATGCCCAGCGGGGGCCCCTGCGGAAGGCTGCCAGGAGTAGCCTTTGTCCGGCCTGTGCCCAAAACCTTGCCACCGTGGCCAGCATCAGCCTGGAGGTCAGGGCCAGCAAAGGCCCCAGAAGCCTTTGGCAACACCTTGCCCCTATTGCCACGATTGCGCATGCCTGCTATGCCGCGTGGGCGGGGCAGGTAAGAAGCCCCGCCCACCTCCAGGCCCCGCCCACCCCGGGAACCCAGCTCCCCGGCTTCAGCACTCAAACCAGCAGGCGCGCGCTCGAGTGGATTTTATATTTTCGTGTTGGTTTTACATCAGCTCTGCATTGTGCACGCTCTTCCCCGCTTGCTTCTCTCTCCACAATCGAACCATCATAAAAGGCTCGTTCAAGGTCACTGAATTGTGTAGGCGGAGGAACTGGGCCCAGGGTGTCTCAGGCCAAGGGCGGGTGTTCGCGACTCCTGTGCCCATCGCCCGGCTGCGCGCGAGGCCGGGCGTCAGCTGGCTGAGCGCGCCTGGGCCGCGGCCACGGAGTCGCGTGGGGGCCTGAAGCATTATTTTCAAGGTGCGTTGTTTATCCAGAGCGCGGCTCTGAAACCTGTTTTCTTCTCTCCCTATCCCTGAGCAGAGAGCTGATTTTGGATACAAGATGCGGGGTTGTCTCAGCCTTAAAAATAATCACCTCTGCAACCAGGCATGGTGGTGCACCCCCGGTCATCCCAGCGCCCTGTGAGGCTGAGGCAGGAGGGTCAGAAGTTTGAGCTCAGCCTGGGCAGTTTAGTAAGTCCGTGTCTCGAAATAAAAAAGAAATAAAGAGGGCTGGGGAGGCAGCTCAGTGTGATGGCCCTGGGTTCCTTCCCCACTACCAGGGGGAAATTCCCGGGGGCTGGGTGGGGCTCAGTGGTAGAGCGCTGGCCCCAGGCCCCTTCCCCTCTGCACTGGGGTTTCCTTGTGTGGGTGGCTGTGGTGGGTAGGCGGGACCTCCCAGCAAGGAACCCCTCAAAAGCTGGGTGCAGATGGAGTGACCTGGGTGCAGGAGGTCTAAGCCCGGGCCCATGAGGCTGAGCTGAGGTGGAGCTGACAGAGGACCCCTTCTGTTTAGAAAAATGGCCCCACATATGGCTTTGGACCACACCAAGGATTTCCAGGGGCTTCTGAGACCCCTCCTGCCAGTTCTGAGCTCTGTCCTCCTTCGGGACGGTAGAGTTGCGCCAGTGGAGGGTGCCCTGAGGTTCCGGGGTGGCTCACCCACTTCTCACCACTGAAGCAGAGGGGTCGGGTCACCCACCCAAGGTCATCCAGCTGGGAAGTCACTAAGCCAAGATCCAAGCCCCGCCGGTCTGGCCCAGGTCCGCGCCCCTAGCCTTAGGCGAGCACCAGTCCTTAGTGGGAGGTCGGACTCGGGCTGATGTTATGTGAGGGAGGTGACACCAGACACTCCTGCCAGTGACCCCAGCCTTTCCCGTCCACTTCGCCTCCCTGTCCCTCTCTCTGGTGACCGCTGCCCCCCTCTGGCCCTGTCCACCATCCTGCATGGTCCGGGGTTTGCCTACTAAAGGGCCGGGAGGCCCATCCAGGCAGGGTCTCCGGCATTCGTGGAGTTAAGACCCTAATACTATTTTCCCACAGCTTTTGGTGGTTTAATAGAATTGAGGGTAAATCTAACTTGCAAATTTTCCCTTTTGATCTCCCTCCTTCAGCAGAGCTGAGTCTGGAGATTGCTCCTTCCCCGCTGCTCCCAGCCCAGCTGCTCCTGAGGCTCGGAGTCCTGGGTGCCCCAGGCGTGGCCACTGCCGGCTGGAGCCCGGTTGCCAGCCTGGACTCGGGCTTGTTCCCACCCGCAGCTCCTGCCAGCCCTCTGCCTCCTCCCGCTCTGCGCTGCTGCCCCCACCGCTTCCCCTTCTCTTCTGCAGCAGGCAGCCGGCTCTTTCCCTTTCATGCTCCCTGGGAGCCCCAGGTCCTTTGCGTGTCCCTCATCCCCCCTGGAGAGTCCTTCCACCAGCCGTGCCAACTCCTACCTAACATCAGGCCTCAGGTGTCACTGTGCCAGGGGAGCCAGGTGCCTGTGGCTCTTCTGTCCCCATCCTTGGACTCACCAAAGTCACAGCTGGTCGATGGCTGTCATCCCAGAGCACAGAGGGCCACTGTTGGCACCTGTGGGCATCTGCCTCTTGTACTGTGCCTCAGTTTCCCTGTCTGCAAGGCCAGGGTGGGCCATCTGCCTGCGCCTCCCACCTGATGGTCTCCAGCGCTCCCTGTGGGCTTCTGGCCAGGATCCCTCATTTCACGCTATGTGACTTCCGTGGTTATCTGATTTTCCAGGGAGGAATTTTCGACTCTGGGCTGAGCTGGCATCTGCCGGCTACCTGGGCACCCGTCCCGTGCCACGAGCCTGGCTGCACCTGGAGCCCTGGGGAGGCCGTGTCTGGCCGTGGTGACAACAGGGTGGCAGCGCTGTGGGCCTGGCCCAGAGCTGTGACAGCGGGTGGGCGTGGGGTGCTGCTCCAGAAGCAGACCTGGGTTCACATTCTGGCTGTGTCACTTCTGGAGAGACCGACCCCCTCCACGCTGTGCCTCAGACCCTTGGCCTGCAGTGGGCGGAGAACAGCCAGTCGGAGCCCCGACACCTGTCTTTAGCTGGCTGTGTGACCTGGGACAGATCGCCGCCCTTGCTGGGCTCCAGGCCACTCGCTAGAAAGGATGTCCTAAATCTGAGGTGACAGGGACCGTGGGGGCTGAGGGGCAGCGTGCAGTGGCCACAGAGGGGCACAGCTGTCGTCCTGTAGTCACTGTGGCCTTTCTCAGGAAGGGGGAGCCACCGCCCCACATCCCGAGTCTACCGAGCACTGTGAGACGGGGGATCACAACTCAGCAGGGAGGGCGGCCATGTCCGGGCCCTCAGCGTCCCAGCAGGCAGAGGCCCGGCAGAGCAGGGATGTGGTCACCACTGGGGTAGGGTGCACGATGTGTGGAGCAGGGATGCGGCACCCCAAGAGCGCCCAGGCGCCCTGCTGAGCCCCCAGCAGGTGTCTCGGGGCCCAAAGGCCCCCGCCAGAGTGACAGATGGCAGGTAAACTGAGGCCCAGAAACCGGCAGATGCTGGCCAAGGACACTCAGCTCCGGGCTGCCCAGCCTGTGGGAACTCGGCCGGCAGTGGGAGGGTCCGGGATGCAAAGGGAGCCGGGCCCAGACCTGCTCCAGCAGCGCAACCCACTGTGGCATGGCTCTGATGTCTGTGCTTCGGGCAGGGCCGGGGGGGGGGATGGGGGGGACAGTCTGGAAGGGTAGCAACCCCAGGGACAGGCAGAGCCTCACTCCTGCAGCCTGGAGACCAGTGACCTCCGTGTCCAAGGCCCTGCAGGAGTGGAGGGCTACGACACGGCCAGCGCAGAGGAAGGGAGAGGGGAGGGCAAGTGGGGGTCACTCCTCGCCCCGGCCGTGGGCAGAAGCTGTGGCCCTGTTTCCTGCCTTTCCCGAAGGCCCAGACCTAGTCTCCTGTCATCTTTAACAGGCGTTCACTGAGCACCTTCTAGCCACCAGCCCTGCACTAAGGCCCCTGACACCTCTGCGGACGGGGCAGACGCGCGCCCTTGTGGGGACACAGGCCCTCATCAAGTAGACCCCTAACTGCCCTGTGAAGGGGGCACCGCAGGCAGCCGAGCACAGGCCCGGCGGGCACAGCCGTGGTGCCACCTCCTTCCTGCAGGAGGTCGTGCTGGGGCCTGAAAGCCCAGGTCGGGGGAGGGGACTGAGGGGGAGCCTGGAGGAGCAGGCGGTGTGGGGGGTTGAGTGGGGGCAGGACAGGGCTCTGGGTGGCCCACAGGATGCCTAAGCGGAGGGAGCTCCCAGAGGTCCCCTCCTGAGGCCTCCCATGTTTCCATTCCAGCCCTTCAATTCCTCTGCGGTGCTTTTCACGCCCGCAGTTATTATTCCCCGCTTTGTTCACATGGTTACTGTGTCTCCCTTGTTAGACTGAGGTCTCCAGAAGGCAGGGACTGTGTACTTGGCTTATCACTGTGCCCCTGTTAAAACAGATTCCTGTAATACCAGCACTCAAGAGGCTGAGGCGGGAAGATCGCCATGAGTTCAAGGCTAGTCTGGGGTACATGGTGAATTCAAGGCCAGCCTAAACTGCATAGTGAGACCTTGTTAAAGAAAAAAAAAAATTCAGGGGCTGGGGTGTAGCTCAGCGATAGGTAACATGCGCCTAGCACATGCCAGGCCATAGGTTCCATCCCCAGTAGCAAAAAAGAAAAAAGGCACTGGGTTATGCTTCAAAACGGGCAGACTTCTAATAACAGTGATTTAAACAAGAAAAGATTTATTTCTTGCTCCAGGAAGTATAGGCAATCCAAGTCTGGTAGGAGACTTAATGCTTTGCCACCCTCAACACACAGGGCTGACACCTCACAGTGCACAATGGCTGCTCCAGCTCCAGCCTCTATGCTCATATTCTGTCCAGTTTAAAGGAGATCTCACCCTGTCTTTTAAAGAAAACTACCAGGAAATGGGCCAAACCACTTCTGCTGTCATCCCATTGGCCAAAAGTTGGTCATGTGAGCTTGTCTAGCTGCACGGGATTCTGGGAAATGTAGTCTTTAGGCTAGGCAGCCATATGCCCATTTAAGATTAGGAGAGCCATTTTTAGGGGGAAGAGACCTAGCAGACTGAGTCACATCTCCACACTTAGCTCGAAATAAGAATGATATTTAACATGTATTTAATACTTTATAATCATGCATTAATCCTTCCCTTTTCCCTCAGGTAAGAGTGAGGAAGAGTGGGTTAAACCACCTCCCCAGCCAGGCATGGTGGCGCACACCTGCAGTCCCAATATTTGGGAGGCTGAGGGTCATCATGAGTTCAAGGACAGCCTGGGCTGCCAGGTGAATTCTTCTCTGCAGGATCCGGGAAGTCTGTGTCTGTCTTCAGCTCTGCATGGTCCTGCAGGAGGCCTAGCTTCCCTGACAGCCTGGCACCTGAGCCTGAGTCTTTCCGGCCGATCGCTCCCACAAGTGACACCCCAGTGTGATGCCATCCAGGCTTGGGCTTTTAGCCTCTAAAACTGTGAGCCACATAAAGCTCTTTTCTTTACAAAGCACCCAGCCTCCAACAGAAGCAGGCCTAAGTCTTTGGGGACACCCTATGCTTTGAGGACAGGGATGGGGCCACAAGCCCATGACTGCAGGTGACCTGGAGACACCAGAACAGCAGGACGTCCCTTCCCTGGGGCCCAGAGGCTGTGCGTCCCACAGACACCCTGACTTTGGGCTCCCAAGGCCCAGGCTGTAAGGAAACACATTTGCATTGTTTAAGCCACTGCCGTGTTCACTGCTTACAGCAGCCACGGGAAACTGAGGCAGAGGGGTTCAGCAGCCCCTCTCCCAGTTCTCAGCCAGCTCTGATGGTCCGGGAAGAAAGGAGACAGTGTGCATGGTCCTGCTCTAGAGAGGTATGGTAGTCGAGTGACAAGACCACCAGGCCACTTGGGAGTCCAGCGGTGTGGCTGGGCCTCAGGACCCCAGGGGGTGATGCCTGACCTGGTGAGCCTCACCTCACCTCACCTCGGGTACAGGCCTCCCTCCCCGACTCAGGCTCCGCCTCTGTGAACACAGTGAATGACAGGACCGGGCACAGGTGCCTGTGATGAGCGGGCTCTCTGGGACAGGTGTGCACAGCAGGTGTGTGCCCAGGTGTGCGTGCAGGTCCACACATGCACACCTGTGTGCCTAGGTGTGTGCAGGGCATCGTGTGGCGTTGCTCTGTGAGTTCCCTGCCACCCATCCCTCCCCCACCCACAGCCTCCTCCCAGGGCCGCGCTGCGGTGCTCACCTTGGCCGGGGAAGCTGCCAGCCCCAGTGTCCTTCAGGGGCCATGCTCCTGGGTGTCCAGGCCTCGGCCCCTCCTCGCTGGCTCGCTCCTCCTCAGTCTCCTCCAGTAGCCCTTCTGACTGTCACTCCTGGGTGGTTGTCCCTCCCCCTGGCCCCAGGCCACCTGTTCCCCCCGTGTCCCTCTGGCCTCAGCGCGCCCCACATCTGCGCGGGAGCCCTGTCCCACGCAGCGGCTCAGGGCGCTTTTGCTCAGCGAGTGACCGCGTGACCTCGTGCAGCGTGGGGACGCGGGAGCCGCGGCTGCTCCTCGTGGGATGTGTGTCCAAAGGCGGTTCCTTGCGCTCAACGACAGGGACACAAGTGAGTTGGCCAAGCGCAGGCCTCGGAGGGGCGGAAGGGGGGAGGGGACTGCGCCTGCATCCCCGCGCGTCCCGTGCGTCCCCTGTGCAGACTTCTGCAGCGCAGCGGTGACACAGCGGCCACTTCCTTCCTCCCTGACCTCGCGTGACCTCCGGGCCCTGCGCCGAATGGGAGGAGGGGCGGAGACCCGGCCAGGGTCACGAGGTCATGGGGGAGGGGCCGCCCCTGCCCCACCCCCACCACCCGCTAGGGCCAGGAGGTCAGAGCAGAGCGGGGGCTGTGCAGCGCTGAGCTTGTTGGTCTGCCTCTCTGACCCTGCTGTGTGTGCGTGTGTGTGAATGTGTGTGTGCGTATGTGTGAGTGTGAGTGCGTGTGTGAGAGTGAGTGTGTGTACAGGCACCAGTGAGCTGGTGTTTGCAGGCGGTCTGACACCGTCAGCACGGTTCCTGCCTCCCTCCCTCCCTCGGGCTTATTTCCCTTGGTCCTTTTCTCCTGCCTGCACTGGGGACCGAGCCATTTGCCCCCAGCACATCCCCGATAGGCAGGACAGCTCCGTCCCCCTCGTTTCTGTCTCCCCGCCCCACACACTGCTGGGCGCCAGGAGTTGCTCACCTGACGTTTGTCGAATGAATGAATGAGCACTGAGCTTGCAAAGCACTTCCTCTCCTGGACCTCATCACCAAGGGGGAGTCTTCAAGGTCCCCTGGTTTCAGGGCACAGTGTCTTGCCTTGCGGCGCCCTCTGCCCAGGGCTGCCCATCTGCCTCGTCCTGCCCAGCTTGGAGCCGCCAGCACTCACCTCCCCTGCAGTGGGGTCTCGGAGGGTCCTTGCTGAGCAAGGGGTTCACACAGCACCCGGCGTGGGGGGCCAGGGCTTGCTCCTAGGTGGGGGTCAGGGCGACCTCTGGCCCCTGCCCTCCACCCCACTGTGGCCTCCTCTAGGAAGGGAAGGGCGCTTCAAGCCTGGGTCCTCCTGGGAAGACGCTGTGCCTGCTCGGAGCAGCCCTAGCCCAGCCCTGTCCTCACTGCCTGCCTCTGGGCCTCACTGGAGAGACGGGGGGCTGGGGTGGGGCCTGCAGGGGAGCCCCGAAAGCCCTGGGAGGCTGGCGTGCAGCAGGGATTAGGAGGATGGGAGAGAAAGCCCTGTGTGTGTGTGTGTGTGTGTGTGTGTGTGCGCGTGTGTGTGTGCGCGCGCGCGTGTGGCTGGCAGGAGAGGAGCCTTCAAAGGCAGGAGGGGAGGGAATGAGCCGGAAACCTCAGCGCTGCTACAGCACAGAGGAGGCCCAGGGGAAGTGAGGGGCCGCATGTGAGGCCAGAGGAGGGGAGGCCAGGGGGACAGACAAGGGGGCCGGGCACACCAAGTGTGCAGCTTGCACTGCGCGGTCCCAAGGCTCCTGCTCTAGACTGGGCACAGCCACCAGCTGGCTGCCCACCCTGGGTGCATCCTTGCCTCTCAAAGGCCCCAGTGTTGCCGGGCGTGGGGGCACACGCCTGTCATCCCAGCACTAGGGAGGCTGAGGCAGGAGGATCGTTTCAAGTTTGAGGTCAGCCTGGGCTCCATACAGCCTGTCTGAAAAACAAACAAAGGAAAAAAAGCCTCGATTTCTTCATCTGTGAAGAAGAGGGGGTGCAGACAGACGTCGGTGCCCGAGTCTCGTGGGGACCCTGTGACAAAGGCCAGAGCCAGGCACGGCGGTGTGCACCCGGAGTCCCAGCCGCTCCAGAGGCTGAAGCTGCGAAATTCCTCGAGCTCAGGAGTTCAAGGCCAGCCTGGGCAACACGGTAAGTCAGTCTCTCTCCCTCTCTCCCTCCCCGCCTTCAGGGTGGGGGTTGACTCCAGGGCCTTCACACTGACCTACATTGCCAGCCCTTTACTGGTTTTTATTTCAAGACAGAATCTTGCCAAGTCCCTAAGTTGCCCAGACTAGGCTTGGCCTTGTGATTCTGTGATTCTCCCGCCTCAGCCTCCCAGAGTGCTGGGATGATGGCTGTGCACCACCCATGCCCAGTTCTTTCTTCTTGGATTGAACCCTGGGCCTTTACACTGAGCTGTATCCCAGCCCTTTTTTACTTTTTGAGACGAGGTCTGTGGGTTGCTATGTTGCCCGGGTTGGTCCCCAACCCGAGACCCTCCTGCTTCTGCAGGGATTACAGGCGTGCACCTCCACGTCGCAGCAGTAACCCTGCTTTGCTGGTTGGACCAGGGCTCTGGCCTGAAGGCTGCACTGTGGTCATGGCTTGGAGTCTGGGGCCCCCACCCCATGCCCGGTGGAGCCCTCCCCGCCATGGCCTCGGGCAGCTGCTGCTCTGAGCACCAGAGCCCCCTGCAGATGGCCAGCTGCGGGAGCCCCCACTGGGGCAGGACAAGGGGACTCGAAGCTGCTCAAGCGCAGGACGCTGAGGTTCCGACAGGCCACCCCTACCGCAGGGCTTGGCAGGCCGGAGCTCCCATCCGCCTCTTGTCCTGTTCCTCACCTCAGCCCATCCCGCTGCGCCTGGGCCCACCCTCTCCCAGGCAGGATAGGACTCCAGGACCGAACTGTTCTCGGTCACCAAGGGACACAGAGGCCAAGGGACCGGCCTGGCTCACACAGCAGGCGGGGTCCAGCCCTGACTCCCGCTGTAGTGCTTGCTGAAAGCAAAGGGAGTGGGCACACACGCGCACCAATGCAGTGTGGGTGGCTGAGCCCCCGCCCCAAGGCCCCGTCTGCTCCTCCCCTGCTGACTCACACGGGCCTCCTCCTCCTGGGGCCCGAAGTGCAGGAGGTCGCAGGACCGGGCTCGCTGTCCTCACCAGCTCCCAGTGGGGACGGAGAGACCGAGGCCAGGGCCCCCAGGCAGGGGTCAGGACACGCGGAGTCCCCAGAAGCTCCCGCCCACACGCCCAGCTCTCTCTGCCCACCACCTCCCGCAGAATGCCAGCTGGGCAGCTTTAGGTGACCTTGGACGCTGAGCCAAGTCGCAGGGCATTGCAGGGCTCCTGGGGTGGCCGCGCTCGCCCCGCCTGTGTGACCCGTGCCCGGTGCACAGTGGGTGTGAAAGAGGGCATCCAGGCTCCCAGCCAGCTGCCAGGCTCCTCCTCGCTGCTTCTGAGCAACACTGTCCCAGGCCCCTGTGGAGAGAAGGGGAAACTGAGGCAGGCTGGAGAGCGTGGTGGAACCTGGATTGGAACTCAAGGTCCTGGCCACAGCTTGTCCTTGCTCCCTCCAGTAAGGGGTGGCCACTGGGTCCAGAGAAGCCCATAGGGTCAGCTGGGTGTGGTGGTGCACACCTGTAACCCCAGCATCCAGGAGGCTGAAGCGGGAGGATCGCCTGGAGTTCCGCTCCAGCCTAAGCTATGTAAGAGACTGTCTCAGAAAACAAAACAAGCAAAGCCGCCAGGGGCCAGGTCCGCGTGGCGCCCGCCCCCGGTCCCCGGGTCTCCCCCCCCCCGCCCCCCCCCCGGCGCCCTGGAAGACCCAGGCCGAGCTCAGCGCGCCGTGGGAGCCGGGGCGGGAGAGCCGAGCTTCCCCTCGCCCGGGGCGGCTCCATCGATCGCGCGCAGGGGCCTTGCTCGCCGCCGCCGCCGCCGCGCAATTATCGGGGAGAAGCTGGGGAGGCTGCGGCGGCGAAATGAGTTATCGATCCTCGCGGGCCGGCGGGCGGGCAGGCGGCTGCGGACCCGGGCCAGGGCGGCAGGGCCCCGCCCCCACCCATCGACCCAGCCGCGCCCTTCGGCCCGGGCACCAGCGCAGCCCTGCGGCCTGGGAGAGCGCGCCTGGGGCCTTTGCACTGACCTACGCCCCCAGCCCTTTTTCATTTTTATTTTTCCCAGTTTTTAATCTTGAAGCCCGGTGTGGTGGTGCACGCCTGTAAACCCAGCACTGGAGAGGCTGAGACAGGAGGATCGCTGGGAGTTCAAGGTCACCGTGGGTCACTTCGTGTCTCTCTCTCTCACACACACACACACACACACACACAACTAACCAAGCAAAAACAAAAAAAAAAACAAAAAAATCAAGCAAACAAAAAAATTAATGTTGAGGTAAGGTTTTTCTTTTTTTTGTTTTCTGGTACTGGGAATCAAACTCATGACCTTGCACTTGCCAGGCAGGCGCTGTGCACCTGAGCTAAACCCCCAGCCCCAGAGGTAAGATTTTTCTAGGTCTCTAAATTGTCCACATTAGATTAGATTAGAACTCACAATCCTCCTGCTTCAGCCCTGCAGAGTACTGGATTTATCAGCCCAGCTAAGTGTTGGGGCTTTTTGTTGTGTTTATACCACCGATTCTTCCCAGCAACTCCAACTGTCATATCCTGGCTTATAGGTGAGGAAACAAAGCTCAGAGAGGGGAGCTGCCCTGTCCAGGGTCACACAGCGAGCAGAGGCCCTGGGGCCCCCGAACTGGCTCTTGGAGGGGCTGTGAGATGGCGGAGGAATGCCTGTGGGGCAGAGGCAGGACAGCTGGCGGTGACGCTGGCATCTGAGCCCTGCCAGCCTGCTTTGGGGGGTACTCAGCGTGCGGTCTTCTCAGTGTGTGGCTGAGCCTGTTTCCGTCCCTGCCCAGGTCTACACAGAGGGACTTGGAACCCGGGTCCCCAAGGCTCTCTTAGGCTGCAGTGCCCGCCTGCCAGCTGCAGTGCATCTTCAGAGCGCCTGCTGCGTGCTGGGAAACGTGCTGGGCACAGTGGTCAGGGCTAGGGGCAAGATCATCGGCCCTCGTCGCCGGATCCCTAAGGAAGGGCATGTGGTGGCACATGCCTGTAGTCCCAGCACCTGGGGGGTGAGGCGGGAGGGGGAGGCTGGTGCATATCCCAGAGCCGCCCCGCCAGCGCGACACTCAAGGTCTTGGCCTGAGGTTCCGGCTTCCTTCCTCTTCCGCTCCATACCCCTGGCCCTCCCAGCCACGCCCGGCACTCGGCCCTCCTGCCTCTGAGCCTTTGCACAGCCTGTTCTCGATACCCCATGCTGGGCGGCAGGGGTGCGGCTGCCCCCCTGGAGGCCTGGCCGAGCTCAGACTTTCCACAGCGTATGCATGTGTGCACCGGGTTGTGTGGCTGGATGCAGATACGTGTGTGCAATCCACCTTTGTACATGCATGTTGCCGAGCCTGCACGCACACCTGCGCACGTGTGAGCAGCTGCACACATGCACGCTGTGTGTGTGCAGCATCACACAGCTGCATGCAGCCTGCCTGTGCTGGTTTGCGGTGCGTGCTCCTGTGGGTGTGCACTCCTGCACGAGCACGTGCAATGGCTTCTCCACGAGCCACAGAGCTGCACGCGTGTGTGAGAAACGAGCACACACGCCTGTGTATCTGATGTGTGCTCTGCACGTGCATGGCCACGTGACCCAGTGCCCACCTCCGTGGCTGCTTTGCTTTTTTAATTTTTATTTTTGTTAGTTCGTGCCTGCGGCGCGTGCCAAGCCCATTCCTGTGGGGAGCTGGTGCGTGCCGACGACAGAACCCACCTCAGCCTTCACTCCTTTTCCCGTCCTCTGTCCCCTCCTTCCGTCTCTAGGTCTCCTTCACTTTTGCAAAAGGTCCAGCTCCCTGCTTCCCACTGTCTTACTTTGCACTTCCATTTATTTATCCTCGGGTTCCTCATATAAGAGAAGCCACGAGGTAACGAAGGCCGTGTGCCTCCGAGCGCGATTTCTTTTCCTGTGCACGCAGGCGATTCTCCTGCACACACGTGTGGGTGGCTCCCGCCAAGTGTACACGCGCTGCCTCCTGTGTCCGTGTTTGTGCGCCTCCATGCGTGTTCTAAACTATGCACAAGCCCTGGGCGTGCGTAAGGCACACTCAGCAGGGAGCGCGGCCAGCTGGGGGGCTTGGCAGAGGATGTAGGAGCTCAGGGGGTGCAGGGGAGGGGCTCCCGCTGCTGCTCCCCCGGGCCTCAGGGCTGGCAGGGGTGGGAGACGGCAGGTGGCCTTGCGCAGCCTCAGGCTTCCCGGGCTGCTTGCCAAGGAAAGCTCTCATGAGCTCTGGGATGACAGGGACTCGCCGTGTCTGTCACTTTCTGTACCGTGGCCTCTGACAGGCTCGCTGGGGCCAGCCTCAGCCTGGAAGAACCCAGACTTGACCTCTAAGCACCAGCAGGGTCACTTATGCCCGCTTGGTCATCACAGCTCTGCCCGCTCCCTGCTCCCCGCTCCCCCAGGTCCCTGCTGCTTCTCTGCACGACCCTTCTCTGGCCTGTCTTCTTGTTTTTTGTTTTCTTCTCCTGGTAGTGGAGATTGAACCCAGGGCCTTCGCACTAAGCTACATCCCCTGCCCATTTTTATTGTTTGAGACTGGGTCTCTCTAAATCATGCCCAGGCTGGGTTTGTTTTTTGTTTCTTTGTTTGTTTTGTTTTTGAGACAGGGTTTTGCCACACAGTTCAGGCTGGCCTTGAGCTCACTTTGTAGCCCAGGCTGGCCTCAAACTTGCAACAATCCTCCTGCCTCAGCCTCCCAAGTGCTGAGATTACAGGCGTGCGCCACCACGCCCAGCCTTGCTCTGCCTCCTGATTACTTGCCGCTGTGTCCTGGGCTCTGCCCCTGGCTCTGGGCTCTCCCTGGCAGTGCCCACCATGCCTGTGCTCACCCTCAGCTTCTCCCTCTAGTCCTGTCACCTGGACACGAGACCTGTCACATTTGCTGCCCTGGAACCCTCCACCCAGTGCCCCAGCCCGCAAGGGTCCCCAGTGCTGCCCGCCTGCCCCTCCTGCACGCTGCCCTCTCGGGTAAGGCAGCTGGCCCCAGCTGTGCTTGTCTCTGCCCTTCACCGGCCTGGCTCACCAGGTGTTTGTACTTGGGTTCCTTGAGCTTGTTGGCTGAGACACTTCATTCCCTTTGGCCGGGCATGGTGGCGCACACCTGTCATCCCAGCACTTGAGAGGCTGAGGCAGGAGGATCACTGTGAGTTTGAGGCCATCCTGGGCTCCATACTGAGTTCAAGGTCAGCCTGAGCCACAAAAAAATATAATGCGGGATAATGTAATACAGTAAAATAAGACAAAATAAGATTTCATTATGTTTGGAAACAGCCACTGTTCCTTCTGGTATTTTTGTTGTTGTTTTGCTTTGTTGTTTCGTTTATTTTGTAGTGCTGGGGGTGCACAGGCCTTACACGTGCATGGCCACTGAGCTGCTCCCTGAGCCTTGGGTTATCCCGTCTCCCCGCTGGCTTCCCTGTGGGGACCCTGGTTCTGCACAGATCAGGTGCCGGGATGACCCTGTGGCCCATGGGTGCTGTTTGTTTTCTCTTCCTCTTCTTTTGGATTACTTTTTCCTGTTTTTTTTTTTGTTTTGTTTTTTGAGACAGGGTCGCACTAGGTAGCCCAGGTTGGCCTCAAACTCAGCCATCCTCCTGCCTCAGCCTCCTGAGTACTGGGATGACAGGCATGCACCACCACACCTGGCATTCCTCGCTCAAGTCTTCACTTCTGCCTGCCCTGTCATTAGCCCAGTCTGTGGCTTTTCATCCTCGATATTCTCAATTTCAACTCCAGAAGTTTATTTATTTATTTATTTATTGGTCTTTTTGAGACAGGGTCTTGCTATGTAGTTCAGCCCGGCCTTGAGCTCACTTTGTAGCCCAGGCTGGTCTCGAACTCGCAACGATTCTCCTGCCTCAGCCTCCCAAGTGCTGAGAGGTGTGCGCCACCACGCCCGGCTGGAACTCCAGAAGTTTAATTTGCTTCTTTTTAGTATCATCCATGTCTCCACTTAATTCAGTGCAGACATGGAATGTGATTTTAATAGCTGATTAGTTCTCTAAGGAGGCTGAGGCAGGAAGATCTGCTAGTTCTAACATCTGTGTCCATGCTGGGTTGGCTTCAGTTGATTCCTTATTCTCTGCTCTCTGGGTCATATTTTTATCTCTGCTTTTTGTTTTTTGTTTTTCTACTGGGGATTGAACTCAGGGCCCTTACACTGAGCTCCATCCCCAGCCCTTTTTTATTTTTCATTCTGAGGTAGGGTCTTGCTAAGTGGCCAACTTGCCCAGGCTGGTCTTGAACTTGTTATTCTCCTGCCTCAGCCTCCCAGGATGCTAGGATTACAAGTGTGCCCCACCACACCCACCTTCCTGGTGATTTTCCCAAGATGCCAGACAGTGTGAATTTTGCATCTGTAGAAATCTTGAGTTTGTTCTGGGAAGCAGTTCCTTGGAAAGTGGTTGGTCTTGCAGGATGATATTTCCGGTGGACTCGGAGCTGAGCTCAATGCAGGGCTCATTATTTCCCCCTCAGAGGCTGCCCTGCCCTGTGTTTGACAAGTTGGCATTTTGGGTCTGGCCAGGGGAGGTGCTGCTCCCAGCCCTGTGTGAGCATCGGCACTCTTCCCTCTGTCCTCTCAAGTGGTTCCTTCCCACCCTCTGGCAGTGCTGTTGCAGGTTTCTTTGAGTTTTGGGGCTGTTTCTGGTGGGATAGTTAGTGTGCCCACTGTTACTCCAGATTGGCCAGAAGTGACAGTGAATCTGTCAACTCTTCCCCCACCTCCTGCCGCTGATGGAGACCCTTACCTCTCCCCAGGTGATGCCTGGGCGCCCAGGGCACCCGCTCTGCCCCATTACCCTTGCCCTGCAGCAGTGGGACCTCTCCATCTTGCAGAGCTGACCACCGCCCTCCCCAGCTCCAAACCTTCTGCTCCTCATTGTCTTTGGTTGAATTCTGTCTTAGTTACCTTTCTTGCTATTGAGACAAAATACTCGATGCCCAAGGTAAGGGAGGAAAGGTTGGTTTGGCTCACAGTCTGTAGAGGTTTCAGTCCGTAGTCGGCTGGCTCGAGGCAGGGTGGTGTGGCAGACGGCATCGCAGAGGAGAAACAGCCCATGGTGGGCAGAAGGCAGCAAAGCAATAAGGGACCACCTCAGCTCTTTCAGTCCCTTTTATTTTACCCAGGCTATTTATGATGTGTAGCACTCACATCCTTAATCCTAGTACCCTTGAGCCTAGCACTGCACCAGCATCACACATGTGACCCCATGAAGCTTTAGGGGGACATCTAGATATAAGCCATAACAATTTCAAACTCTGCCTATGTGTCAGGTGCAGGGGTGCACACCTGTAATCCCAGCTACTCAGGAGGGTGAGGCAGGAAGACTGCCAGTTCAGCCCCAGTCTGGGAACTTAGTAAGATCCTGTCACAAAATAAAACATAAGGGCTGGGGACAGGGGTCTGTAGTAGAGCACCTCCCCAGCATGCACAAGGCCTGAGCCCACAAGCCCCTCCCAGGAGCCCGGCTGCCCTCTTGTCCGGGCTGGTCACCACTCTGAGCCCTTCTCTGCGCACACAGAGTGGCTTCCGGTCTCCTCCGGCTCTGACTCTCGTCTTGCCCCCACTTCTCAGAACCGTGGAATGAATGTCAGTCATGCTGGAGCTTTCCACGGGGTGATGGATGGGGAAACTGAGGCAGAGTGCGGGTGCCTGGGGTGGAGGAAGCTGGATGGGCGTGGTAGCTCTCAAGACCCCCCTAATGCCCGGGTCCTAGAGGGGTGGTGCCCTGGGCCAGCTGGGGCCCTGGGGGTGAGCAGGGGTTCTGTGTGCCTGGCCCCTCCCCAGCATTCACAGAAAAAGGGGGCAGGTCCCTCTGAGTGGGTCATAGGCCCACTGGAGAGCTTGTGTGTGGGTGGGGGCTCCAGGTCAGCCAGAGGTCAGGCTGGTCCAGCCCGATTACCCGTTAACCAGGTAAGTCGGGCACGAATCCTCCGGAATGCCATCCCTCCACCCATCCTTCCACCCATCCTTCCATCCATCCCTCCATCCATCCCTCCATCCATCCTTCCATCCAACCCTCCATCCATCCCTCCATCCATCCATCCTTCCATCCATCCTTCCATCCATCCCTCCATCCATCCCTCCATCCATCCCTCCATCCATCCCTCCATCCATCCCTCCATCCATCCATCCATCATTCACTCATTCCTTCCCTTCCCACTCCCCGGAAGCTGCAGTGTGAGACAGGGGCCAGCCAGCACGGCCAGGGCTGTAGCAGGGGCCACACAGGGGCCACAGGAGCCGGCATGGGTGACGGGCGGGGGTGGGGGGATCCCGAAGCTGCCTGCGGAGGCGGAGCAGAGGCCTGCGGGTCCAGGCTGCTGCACCCCATGCTGCCACGCTGCCAGCTCAGCCCTGGATTCCCTGCCCTGTGGAATTCCACTGCATCTGTGGCTTCCAGGGGCTGAAGTGCCTTGAGGGAGGACCGGGAGGCGGTAGGGGGCTGAGGGGCGCCTGCAGACAGCTGCGTGCACACGGCCTGCATGTGCCTGTGCTTCCAGGGGACACCCTGGGCTGGGGTCTCCTGTGCTAGGACAGGGTGAGCAGGGACTGAGGCGGGGTGAGGAGGGCTAGGAGGAGATGCGAGGGGTGCAGGGCGGAGACAGAAGCACAGACTGGGCCCCAAACACGGACGGGCGGTCCAGGCTTGGACTGGGCATGGGTGCGTGGGACGGGGTATCTCTGGGGAAGAGGTGGCACCCCGGGGGTTGGGGGCTTAGTTCCTGGCCTGGGAGCCGCGGGGAGGGTGTCAGTATGTCACATGGGATCTGTGTGCCACTGTGTCTGAGTGACCATGTGCACGCAAAGGGGAAAACACTGTTCCCGAGGTCTCCTTCAAAGGGGCCCTGAAGCCTGGGATGGGGTGCACGGCTACCATCCTGGCACTCTGGGAAGCTGAGGCAGGAAGATTCCAAATTCAAACCCAGCCTGGGCAACTTAGTGAATTAGGGAGACCCAAAATAAAAAGGGCTGGGGATCGAGCTCAGTGCAAAAGCCCTGGGTTCAACTCCCAGTGCCACAAGAAAGGGGGCGGAGCCTGCCTCCCCGACACCAGGGAGGAGTCCGAGGGCAGAAGGGGGCCCTCAGTGTTCCCGCGCTGAGGCTCAGCAGCCTCCTCGCTGTCCTCACCCCTGGGGGAGCTGCGGGGTGGCCTGGAACCTCCTAGAGCCCCACCAGCTCGTCCACAGCCGGGGTGGGGGACGGAGGACACAGGTCCTGTGCTGGCCACTGCTTCCGGCTGCAGGCCTGGAGGATGGGGCAAGAGGCTGGGCCACCCTGGGTCCTCACCGCCCCCCACAGGCCTGCTGCGGACCGCAGGGGAGGCAGGAAGAGGATTTCAAGGCGGTTTCACCTTTGGTGTTGTCACCCCCCGTATCCCGGGCTGGGAGGAAGCCACTTGCCAGGCTCGGTTTGTTACAGCCTGAGCGACGGGCCACCGCGACATCAGGCAAGGCACACGTGGGCCCCAGCGGGCTCGGCCACCTGGACCCGCCTGGGAGGGCCAGGAGCTGCGGGGAGGGCGGGGGACGACTCCAACCTCAAGGCCACTGAGGAGCCTTGGTTCTTTTCTCAGAAGGGTGCGGGCTGGGACTCTGCTCTGGCCTGGCCGCATCAAAGCTGCGGGGGATGCCTGGCCGGGCTGCGAGGGGTCACACTGTGCCGGGCCTGGTCGCTAATACTTCCTCCAGGTGTATTCAGTTGGTAAAGGCTGAGATCTCTCTCTCTCTGTTTTCCCACACAGGTCTGGCTCTGTAGGCCAGGCTGGCCTCGAACTCACTCCGTAGCCCGCTTGGTCTCCTGCGTCAAGCTCACAGGGGAGGATCCTCCCAGGGGTTACAGTTCTCAGCTCAGCAGGGTTCCCACTTCCCAGCAGAGCACGCACAAAGTCTGCCTGGCCACCTGCCACCCAAGGCCAGGCCAGACACTGGGAGCCCCGCAGCGTAAGAGTTGGCCTTCCAAGTGCAGAAATCTCTTCCGGGGCCTCCACAAGGAAAGAGCCCAGAGCTGCAAATGACAGCAAAGTGCTACCAGAGTCTGGAAGGAAATCTCCACAAGGGCTGTCGGCCATGTGGGAAGACAAAGATGGGTGAGGAAGGGAGCATGACAAGGGAGGTGAAGAGGGTGACAGATTGTGCCAAGGCCCTGGGGCAGGTGGGAGCAGAACACAGGTGAGTTCCACAGGACTAGGTCCACATGGCACAAAAAGGCTACCAGAACCAGAAGGGAACCAGCTGGCCAGTTCACATCACACCCCTTCCTGTTCGATATGGAGCTCCCCCAGCTCCACGCGTGCTTCAGAGTCCAGTGTGGGGAGCAGATGAGATGAGAATACTTAAATTACAAGCGGCAGATGCCTGTCATCCCAGCTGCTCTTGAGGCTGAGGCAGGAGGATTGTAAGTTGGAGGCCAGCCTGGGCAATTTAGACCTCATCTCAAAATAAAAAATCCAAAGTGCTGGGCTGTAGCTCAGTGGTCCAGTGCTTGCCTTGCTTTGCTTGAGGCCCTGGGCCCCAGTCTCCAGCACTCTGCAAAATGGAACAGAGCAGAATCCGGAGGCTTCGACCCCACACTCCGACTCCAGTGAGGCCTGCACGGAGCAGGGCCCAGGAACCCACGTTTTAACAACCACCCTGTGCTCATGCCCAGCGCCACCGTACCACGACTGCAGGCTTGGTGGCTTCAAACACCAGATGTGCTGTGTCCCTGACCTGTCTAGGGCTGACATCTCGGGGTGGCCAGTGGTCCCTCTGGAGGCTCCCAGCTGAATTCATTTCCTGCCACTTCTGGCTTCCGGTGGCCGCCAGGAGTTCTGGGCTCATGGCCCCACCACTCTGCATCAGCCTTTCCTCTTCTCCATCCAGTCCTCTTACAAGGACCCCCCCCATAACAACTGAGGCCCACCCAGATAATCCACAGTAATCTCCCCATTAAGGTCCTTAATTTAGTGGAGTGTGATGGCACAACTGCTGTCCCCATGGAGGGCCTGCAAACCCAAGATAGAGCAGGAGGGTAAAGGAGGAGGCCTGAGTTCCAGAGCTTGCTCTGCCCCGTCCTAGAGGAATTTCACTTTTCTGAGCTTCAGTTTCCTAATCTGTAAAATGGGCACACTATTGGTGTCTACACAACTTTTTTTTTGAGACTGGGTTTTACTATGTGGCTTTCACTGGTGATCACTGGTGATCCTTCTGCCTTAGCCTCCTGCGTGCTGGGATTATGGGTATACACCAGCACACCCGGTTCTGCATTTAGTTTTAATTCGTTTATCCTCTTTTCCTACAGACTGAGAGCTCCCAAGGACCCAGGCCTCTTTGCCTCCTGTCCCCAACACCTGGCACACTGCCTAGCAAGAGTAGGGCTTGGACATGTGGTGATTCACAAAGGATAGAAGAGAATGCGCATAAATGGCCTAGCACACTGCTGCCACATAGTAAATGCTCAACAAACACCAGTTCTTCCACAGAACAATCACAGGCTCAAAACTGGAATGTAAGACCTTTGCGTGTATCTGAGCTCTTCTGCTTTGGTGAGAGGTGGGGTACAGTCAGGGACTCCCCTCCTCCTGACCATGTTTCAAGCGCTGTTTGCTGGGGACAGATGGGGAGAAGGCGAGTTGTGGAATTGGGGGTGGGTGCAGGGTTAGTAGGTGCCAGCGCCCCATGAGTCCTGACACCCAGGCCCCTGTGGGACCTACGCTCCCCCGCCCTTCCCGGCCCCTGTAACGACGTGCTTGTCCCTCGGAGGTCACTCACTGGTGGCTCCAACAAGCCCAGACACACAGTAGGCGCCCGGTGACGGCTTCGGAAGGCACAGGGCGCTCCAGGCCTTTCTCCACCCTGGCGTCCTCAGAAAGACCCGGAAACCTTTGCATCCCTCCCCGGACAAAGGCACCCGAGACGAGACCCAGGATTTCAGGGACCCCCGCCCGAAAGCTGCCCATAAAGCCCAGCTTCAGATCTGCCTGGGGTTCGGAGGGCGCCCAGAGACCTCGAGAGCTGTGGGGCAGGGCGTCCCCGGGGGCACGATCTTGCTCCCCAGGAGGACGCAGGGAAGGGGCAGCGGCGACCTGGGGGAGGGGGAGACCCGGGTCCCCGACAGAAGGGGGCGGTGCGGGGGAGGAGCAGAGGCGGGGCGCGAGGGAAGGTGCCTGCCCGCCGGGGGCGGGGCCTACGGAGAGCCCGAGGGCGGGCGGGGCCGGGAGAAGGAGCGAGGGGGGCGGGGACTGAGGGGCGGGTCTGCGGAAAGGCGGCGCATGCGCAGCGGGTATGGGCGGGGCTAGGAGGGGGAAGGAGGAGGCCTGCGCGGAGGGGCGGGGCCTCAAAGAGGCGGGCTGGAGGGAGGGGCCGAGCGGGGTGAGGCTAGGAGAGTGAAGGGGGCGGGGATGCCGAAGATGGGCGGGGCTTGCATGGACGAAGCCCGAGAGGGGCGGGATCGTCGGGACAAGAAGCGCCCGCCGCTGAAGAGGCGGCCTCCTGCAGTGGAAAAATTCCCTGCGGGTGGCGCAGTCCCGCGTGGGGTGATCAGCCCAACCCTTCGCCCCTGTTCTGCACCAGCAGGCCCAGGAGAGGGCCCTGCTCCCCCAGATCCTAATGTCAAGGCCAGTGGCTGCCCAAGCCAGCCCCTGCAGTGGGTCGCGTCACTCCTGCTAAGGAAGGGCTTGGGGACTGCCTCTCGCCTCTACCTTTCCTCCCTCCTGGGCCGCCCCACCTGCCTGACACCTAATTGCAAGCAGCGTTCCTTCACTCCACAATGCGTCCCTCCGCGTGCGCCTGGACCATCTATGGCTCCCTATTGCCGCCTCGACCACCCTTGGGTCTGTCTAGCCCCTGGAGTAGAGAAGGGTCAAATTCCAGCCCAGGGGATCTCAGCCTGCCTTTCCTGTTTTATTTACCTTCAATTTCTGTCTCACTGAATGAGGCTGCGCTGACTAGCAGCTCAGGTTGGGCTGGTGGAATGGAGGCAGCTGGTGAGGAGACTAGAGTTGTGATGTAGCTTGACCTCTGCTCTTCCGCTACCTGGCAGAGTGTGTCCTTGGGCAAGTATGTGTATGTATGTTGTTTTTTTGTTGTTGTACTGGGGATTGAACCCAGGGCTTTCACCCTGAGCTGTATCCCCAGTCCTTTGTTTGTTTGGTTTTGTTTCTGAGATAGGGTCTCACTATGCAGTTCAGGCTGGTCTTGAACTCACTGTGTAGCCCAGGCTGGTCTTGAACTCACAGTGATCCTCCTGTCTCAGCCTCCAGAGTGCTGGGATTATAGGTGTGCACACCATGCCCAGCTGCCAGTGTATCTGAAGCTCATCTTGACCAGTTGTTGGAGTAGCAGGAGGTGCAGCCTCTGGGGCACTGGGATCAGTGGGGAACATTTAGGGAGCTGAGGCCAGGAGCACTTGGCCCAGTGTGCTGAACACCTGCTCAGTGGGAAAGTTCACACCATCTGGGCTGTAAACTCGGAGGGCAGAGGACCTGGGTGGGCCATTGGGTGTCTCGGTGCTCTGGGTGCAAACCCAAGCAAGGGTCCAGAGCAGGACTTCTGCGCCCCCCCGTTCTCCTTCAGGTAGGCCTGGGGGAGGCGGCCACTTGGCTCAGGAGCCAAGATGCCACCACCTTCTTCGTGGCTGGCTGGGGCAGGGTTGCTTGTGCTGACCCGGGGGGCTGGAGTTGGGGGCAGGAGTCAGAGGAGGGTCTGTCTCTGGGCCACCACAGTGGCTGGGACCCTAGGACCCACAGAAAGTTACGGTGTGACAGTTGGCACCGGCTGAGTCCTCACCGCTTTCCATGAGCTGGGAGACAAGGTCTCTAGCCATCCTGGGACAGAGGACACATTCCAGTCCTTCTTCGGGACAAGCAGCCGGGGTCAGAGAGCTCATGCTGCTTGTCATGCTGCTGGACACCAGCAAAGCTGGGACCCCAGCCAGCCCCTGACCCCAGACACACCTCCTGGCAGACCAAGGGGGGTGTTGGGTGTTGGGTGTCCGTGGGCCCCTGTCCCAGGGGTCCCATTGATGTGCCCATTTTATACACTTGCTTTGGGGACTTTCTGGGCCAGGACTGGAGTCCATAAAAAAAAATCTTGGGGATCAGCGCTGGAGTGGGTCTCAGAGCTCCTGTAATCCACAGGGAAACTGAGAATAGAGAAGGCGGTGGACCCACCCACACCCAGAAGCTCCTTCCTGCCTCCTTGGGCCTCTGGACCCCACCTATTATTTTATGAATTAATAAAAATAACAGGGCTTATCTTTTCAAGCATTAGACTGAATAAAATGCTACAGTAATCAGGAGGAGATACTGGCCTAAGGACAAACAGATCAGTGGGATGGAACAAGGAATCTAGAAATAGTCCTGTACATACATAAAGGCGGAGTAGAACAACTATACCTTTGACATGTAGAAAGAGCCTACCTGCCTCCCCGACAGGTTCAAGAGGAAACTGTTATAGGAACCTTTCTCTCCTGCTCCTGATGTTTCCTTGCATGTAGAGGGGACTGAATTCCTGCAACACATTGAGCTCCCCCCCCACCCCCACCCCTCCACATGCCCAGGAGGCAATGGCTGCCTTACCTGGTTCATACGCATGGTTAACTCCCCCTTTCTCTGCTTAGGAGTGAGCTGCCCACAGCAGGCTCATTCCAACACCACATCCAGCACTATTATGACTAGGGGTAAAGATTGCCAAATGCCCATTGTCAGTATGAAAAACCCACTGACCATTCTTCTGTAATTCCAGCACTCAGGAGGCTGAGGCAGCAGGATCCTCATGAGTTCAAGGTCAGCCTGGACTACATAGAAGATCCTGTCCCAGAGAGAGAGAGACAGACAGACAGACAGACAGAGAGACAGAGACAGAGACAGAGAGAAGGGCAACTCATTGGCTGTCACAATGACCCTCATCCTTCAACCTTGTATTAGTTTTTTTTTTTGTCTTTTTTTTTTTTTTTTTTTTTTTTTTGTCTTTTTGAGACAGGGTCTCCCTGTGCAGTTCAGGCTGGCCTTAAGCTCACTTTGTAATCTAGGCTGGTCTCGAACTTGCAAAGATCCTCCTGCCTTAGCCTCCCGAGTGCTGGGACTCCAGGTGTGCACCACCACGCCTGGCCCTCGTTTTGTTTTTTTTTAAGATGATTATTCTTTTTTCTGGTCCTCCTGCTGCTGAATCTTCATCTTATCTCTGGGGTCAGAATCCAGGAAGGGAAAGGAAAGTTAGTTACTGAGCCCCTCCAAAGACATCCACTGAAATCACAGTGGGAATTATGAAACAGCTGATAGTATGGAAAAGAAATAAATGCAAAATAAAATGTGTGGAATGCAACTAAAATGACATTTATGGAGAAGCACGGAGCTTTAAGTGCATTTGCTCTAAAACACAAATGACTTAAACATACATGAGCAAAGCTTTCAAATGAGGAAAGAAAGTTTAAAAATAGTGGGAGGGAGTAAACAATAAAGATAAGGATATGAATGGAAAGGAAATCAACAATTACGGAATGATCAACAAAGCCGAAAACTGGTTCTTTGAAAAGACAAATAAAATACACAAACATCTAGCAAGTTAATCAAGGGAATGAAGAAGGAAGGCACAAATATCTAGTAATAACAATGAAAGAAGAGCCAGGCATTGTGGCACACACTGATGGTCACAGCTATTCAAGAGGCTGAGGCAGGAAGATCTTGAATATTGGAATCCAACCTCAGCAGTTTAACAAGACCCTGCCTCAAAATAAAAAGGGCAGGGACATAGCTAAGCATTCCCTGGGTTCAATCCCCCCTTCTGCTGAAAAAGAGAAAAAGGAAAAGAATAAAACAATGAAGCTGCAGTTTTAAGGATCATAAATGAAAAGGAGAATTTGTAGAAAAATGCAAGGGATCAAAGTTGACTGAAACAGAAGAAAAAAAGGCAATAATTATTAAAGAAAATAAACCAGTATTTACAAAATCACCACTCTTGGCCAGGCATGGGGGGACATGCCTGTAATTCCAGCACTCCAGAGGCTGAGGCAGGAGGATCACTGTTCTTTCAAGGCTAGCCTGGACCACATAGCAAGACCCTGCCTCAAAACAAAGAAATTCACCCCACATCACTCTCCCCTCACAAAGAAGCGCATGTGCCGTAGACACCAAGGAGGCGGATGTCGCTCAGAGGTGACGAAAAAGCGTGAGGGCAGCAGCTGGAGACACTGATCCCAGGTCCGGTCCTCACCGCGGTCCGCCCCGCGGCTGCCCTCACCCCAGTGCGCCTTCCCACGTGAGCTCTGAGCTGCCTCTTCTGAGCAAGTCCTGCTGGGTTTCTGCCACCCCGTGTCCCCCCACACACAAACCCACGCACCACACGACCCCGTGCACGTCCACGGTAGGGGGCGCCTTCCCGCAGCCCCTCCCCCAGCGCCCTGGGTGACGCAGGGGACTGATGTCAACCCGGACGCAAAGGACCCGAGAACCTGATCATCTCTCAGCCTTACCCAGAATTCAGCCTCTGGGGACACAGGGCCTCCTGGGTGTGTGTTGCGTCACCTTCTTGGCACTTCCTGGGGGGATGACCCTCGGTGGGAGGGACGGAGGGATGCCAGACCACTGCCAGAGACTCCCAAGGCAGCGGAAGTTCCTGGTTTTCTAAAGGGTCTTCCGGGGATCCCCTCGTACAGGGAGGCAACAGGCGGAAGCCAGGCAAGCCCACAGCCATT